CCTTATTATGAATATTTTCATACTCCTTATAAGGACAAGCGTATAGTTGGATTGAAAAGGATCATGTACCTTTATAATATGTAGGGTCGGTAATTAGGATCGAGTTCATTTGACTAACCTTTTTAAGTCTAAAAATAGCAAGGACTAGGCTATTATTTAAAAAAATTAATAATTATAACTTAAAAGGGTCAACCTAATGGTTGTAAAAATAAAAGAGCTGGCTCTTCATTATTATTGTTTTAAAAAAATTAAGTCTAAAAAATAAAGACTAACTAAAAATTTAATATATTTGTCAATGAAAAGGCTTCAGAAGAAAACAAATCAAATTATATTGATATTGATATATAATAATGATAATGATAATCTTTAAGATTTTGCTGATTATATGCCAGAAAAGTCTAATTTTTTTTATGCTGATTTTGAGGTTATTATTTGATTTTGATGTTCCAATAAATTATCAGGATCCTCATCAAGATGGCGTTGAAATTGGTTCCTATGCAATGAACATATAACTAAAAATCTCCACCATGTGTCCTGGTTTGCATGAAAATCACCCACGTTTGTAATTTTGTAAACAAATTTAAATAAAACACAAGCGTTGCATAAAATATATTTTATAAATATCACTTTATAAAAATTAGCTCTCACCCGGTGGAGGCTCATCCTTAACAGTGGACCCTAATCTGTGTAGTTGTGAATAACGTGGCATTCTATGATCCATCAAATCGGCTATTAAATAAGCCTTTCTTTTTGCTCGTCTTTGTACACACATCAAAATTTTCAACACCCAAATCCCCTTAGAGAGAGAAAGAGAGAGAGAAGATGGGTTTGGGCAAGAAGACGATGATGAAGGCAGGTCTGGTTCTGTTCCTGATGGCCTTCACTGCGACGGTGGAAGCTCGGTTCGATCCAGACACCTTCCTGGCTCAGCTGATGAAGGAGAATGGGGAACCAAACTACATGATCAAGTCCACCACCACTGCCTGCTGCGACAACTGCGCCTGCACAAAGTCGAACCCACCTCAATGTCAGTGCTTTGACTGGGGAGAAACTTGTCACTCTGCTTGTAAGGCTTGTTTCTGCTATCTAATCTACCCTCCAAGGTGTCGTTGTTTTGATACCACCACCTTCTGCTATGATAAATGCTCCTCTACTTCTGCTCAACCTCAGATTGCAGCAAACTGAAGATGATTCATATTAATGATGTCATCATGTCATGTTTATGCGAACAACAGAGCCTGTTACTACTGTAGGCTTTGCTTTCTATATGTATGTGAACCTTCCCTTATGAAATAAACTATCTTGTGCCTTGCATGCTTCCCCGTTTGCTTGTTGCAAGCTGGTTACTTATGCGAGGACTTGATATTATTCTATCATCTTTTGTTTTCATTATACTTCGACTTTGGTTCGCTATTTAATTTAACTTGCTTTGAATTTAATATTAAATGATTATATTGAAGGGAAAGTAGTGTCCGAGGACCATAAAGTTAACAGGACTCTTCAATTATTTTTCAAAACGCCTTTAATAGACCCAAAGACATGAGATATCTCAACTCTTCGTGTGTTGTTCTCCCTTACTCAATTATCACGATTTTATAATATATGAATAATGAAGTTTATTATTTTGTTAGCAGAACAAAAAGTTTAATTTATCATCAACTTTCATGTGTACTCTATTGTATGGGCAAATTATTCATCAACTTCTTTAAGAGTGCATCAACGTAAATTGCCAATATTATCATAATATGTGTGGTTGCCTTCAATTGTCATAATATGTGATTTTATGAGATTGGATTCTCTAACTCCACCAGATTGATTGCTGAGAAGCAGTGAACAGCCTTACCAGATTGGACTCTCTTACTTATTCTCGCAGACACAAAAGGAATATTTTCTTCCATAATTAAGTTGAGATCAAGTCTAGGACGTACTTTAAGGATCTATGAGCATACAAAAAGATTATGCTTACAGATCATCAACAGATCCTCACATCGGTAGAATATGAGTCACTTCTTTACCCATTAAGGCAGCCATTAATTTGTTTTGGCCACTTACATAGACACCTCTAAAATTAAAAACTAAATAATCTCTCTTGACTCTTTTTAGGGGACTTTCCAGTCCTCTATTTATTTTCAAATTATTCACAGATCATATTTTCTAAAAATAAGAAATTGGGAAATTGAAGTGAAATATTCTCTGTAACATTGTTTTGATCAGGAAAGAATTGAGCAACTGTAAAATGAAAATGGAGCATCAGACAAAGGTGTGGGGTTCCACCCAGCTATGCCTATCCACGTGTGATAAATACTTAGTACATATACGGCGTTAAAGATTCTTGGGAAAATCATTCACTGCTAAGTCTCCCATAAGCCATGACCATTCTTATTACCCAAAAGTCCCACCAAATGCTGAAATGAATCTGTGGTTGTATGATAGTAATATGTGAAGCAGAGATTTTGGAAAAACTGCTGCAATAAATTCATGGTTTACTTAATCTACACCACAGTTTCATATATAAATACGAATACCTATTTTTATAAATAAAAAATTAATCTTTTAGTCCTTCAACTTTTAATTCACTTGTAACGCAGTCCTTCAACTATAACTCGCTCCCTCAACTTTTGAATCACTTTCAAATTAGTCCTTAAACTTTTATTAATTTTTTTTCATTTTAGCTTATATCTCACATCAATAAGCAAGAGGAGGGTATTTTAGAATAATATATGAGCATTTTGTATCCCTCTTATTTGATAAAAAATTTTTAAAAAAATTAAAAAATAAAGACCGAATTATAGGTGAATCAAAAGTTGAAAACATAAATTGCAACGAGTCATAGTTGAAAGATTAAGTTATAAGTGAATTAAAAGTTGAAGGATTAAAAACTTAATTTTTCTTTTTACAAATAACAATGTATTTATTAAATATTATTTTCACGTACAAGAGTTAACTCTCAACTTTATTAACTTCTGCTATCATAAATGCTCCCCTTGATGTGCTAAACCTGCTGACTAGTACCTATTCATCAGTCACCCGCATGCTTTCATCACTCATGTATCTATAATCTTATATATATGTATGCAAAACCTATTCATTTTGCATATTAAATAATGTTGTAACTTATATCTATCTTCCTAATGAAATAAAATATATATGTCTTGCATTCATGTGATTTGCTTTCTTGCAGACTCTTTGCTTGCAAGCTCATGATCTTTATTGGGGTGAGCTTTAATATCAATAATTTTATAAAATAAATTAAAATGATTAGCCATATTATTGATTGAAAGTGAAATGTTAGAATGACTTGATTACAAAATTAATATCTGATTTTGCTGCTCAGAGAGAAAAATGACATAAAAATAGATAAATGACAATACATTAGATCTTTCGAATAATTTTGACTTAGGCCCGAAACTTATTTACACAGCCTGGAGATAACACCCCAAATTTCAGCATCAATAGAGAGGCCTATACCAAATTGGCTCAAGAAATCACCAAATCCTTTTTCTATCCTAGTAATACAAGGGAAAAATAAGTAAGGAAGCGTGCACGATTTTTGTATATAAGCACTGTGAAGAAACTCAAAAATTGGAAGTGAGTGATGAATTTTTTCTGCCTAATTTATATAGAATATCACATTTTCGAACTCAAGCGTAACATCAGCATGGTTATAGTAAGCATATGTGAAGCGAAGATTTTGGAAATTTGCTGCAACAAATTAATGGTTTACCCATTTCAAATATAAAATACTAATATCTATTTTTACATATAACAATGTAATTATTATTTTCAAACAAAGATTTAATTCTCAACTTTATTTGATTATCCGACTTTATTCTCTTCTACATTATTTCAAAAATCTTTTGAAATAAATTGTAAAACCACATGAACAATAGATCGAATCTTATCACAAAACGGATTTCCGCGTAACAACATAAATCTTTTGTCCTCAAAATCTCAACCTTTCGTTATGATTTCCTGTTATCTACATTGTCCTCATCCATGAAGCAAGCCATGTGCAAATAATTAGAGAATAAGTTTTTTTTTTTGAAAAATTAGTGAAAATTATAAGATAAAGTGATCATCATATTTTATTTATAAGTTACTTCTAATATTTTAACCAAAACTAAAAAAATTTTAAATCTTATTAACTCTATCTAAAAATCTAATAAGTTTCTAACTTTACCTTTATTAAATATACACACTTTAAAAATAAAATATTCTACCATTTAATAGGGACAAAAAAGTAAATATAAATATAGTAATTATTTAGATGTTTTATAATAAGACCAAAACAAATACTGCCTTTTGGCCCAATAAATAAGATTAGAAGAGTGTGTATTTTAAAAGATACAATTTATATGTCTTTAACAAAGCATAAAAAGTAGTTTTTTTTCGTCATAATAACTATTATAATTCGCATCTTTTATAAAAATTAGAATTTTATTGCAAAAATGATTCTTATGTTCTACAAGATTAAATTAATGATAGTTAAGTTCTCAATAAAATATTTTAAAAAATTGAAATTATAAATTCAAACAATTATAAATGTAAAAGTTCTAATTGCAGATGAAATATTTGATATTCAAAATATTTAAGAAAAAATTTAAATAAATAACAGTACGTATACAATGAACATATAACTAAAAATATCCACCATGTGTCCTGGCTTGCATGAAAATCACGCACGTAAAAGTTATACTTTTGTAAACGAAATTAAAATAAAAAAAAATATTTCATACAAATAAAAAATTCAGCAACACGAAAATATTATGATATTAAAGATTATAATTTACCCTTTACCAAAAAAATTATAATTTACTTCTTTTTACAATAATTATAAAATAAACTTGTACAACATCTCTCCTGGAAAATATCATCTAACACAACGAAAAGATCGGTCTCCCCTCTCATCCATTGGAGACTCATCCTTTACCGTGGACCCTAATTTTGAGTCACGTGGTAATATGATCCCTAAACTGGCTTATAAATAAGCCTTTCTTTATGCTCGTCTCTGTGCACATCAAAACTTAAACACACAAATCCCCTTAGAGAGAGAAGATCGGTTTGAGCAAGAAGACGATGATGAAGGTAGGTCTGGTTCTGTTCCTGATGGCCTTGACTGCAACTGTGGAGGCTCGCTTCGATGCAAACAACTTCCTGGCTCAGATGTTCAATGACAATAATGAACCAAACTACTTCATCAAGTCCACCACCACTGCGTGCTGCGACTCGTGCATCTGCACTAAGTCAAACCCTCCTCAGTGCCACTGCAGAGACATCGGAGAAACTTGTCACTCTGCTTGCAAGTTATGTGCCTGCACTCGCTCCATTCCTCCACAGTGTCGTTGTCTTGATACCACCAACTTCTGCTATGATAAATGCTCCTCTACTTCTGCTCAACCTCAGATTGCAGCAAACTGAAGATGATTCACATTAATGGTGTCATCATGTCATGTTTATGTGAACAACAGAGCCTGTTACTACTGTAGGCTTTGCTTCTATATGTATGTGAACCTTCCCTTATGAAATAAACTATCTTGTGCCTTGCATGCTTGCCCGTTTGCTTCTTGCAAGCTGGTTACTTATTCAAGGACTTGATACTGTTCTATCATCTTTTGTTTTCCTTATACTTTGACTTTGGATTGCTATTTAACTTGCTTTGAATTTAATATTAAATAATTGAAGGGAAAGTAGCATCCAAGGACCCTTAAATTTAACTGGACTTTAACTTTTTTAAAATTTCCTTTTAAATACCCAAAGACATGAGAGATTGGTTGGAAAGGCTAAAATGGTAAATATTGGAAAATATCAACCAAGATAGCGGCACTGTTTTTATTGACGTTAAATTTTATTTTATTTATTTTTTATTGAAGTTATAAATACTCAAGCTTATTTTTAACGTAAATAGAAATCCACAATAACAGAAAGCCAAGTGTGATGACTAATTGTCTCAAACCATAAAATGATGAATCAACAACACCAAGCTCTACTTGCTTCAAAATTCACTACTTATAGACAACTCGAGATCTCAACTCTTCGAGTGTTGTTGTCCCTTAATCAATTATCACGATTTTATTATCTATATATATATATATATGAACAATGAAGAAGTTTATCATTTTGTTGGGAAGAAGAAGCAGAAGTTTATCATTAATTTAATTTCATGTGACCTTTATTATATGGGCAAGTTATTGAGTAAGGACCGCTTTGTTATTGGTCCCTCCGACGCCGAGTACTGCATCAATGTACATTGCAGATATTATCATAATTAAAATGTGTGGTTGCCTTCAATTATCATAATATGTGATTTATGAGATGCATTCTCTAACTTCACTAAATTGGATTTAAATTCAGTTATTGTACTTAGTACAAGCACCGAGTGCTTGCATCATTTAAACCGTTGAAATTCATTTCAATGGATTTTAATGCATACCTCAATTTGAAATTAATGAATGAATGTGTTTATCTGAATTATTAATATAGATTTTAACATTTCAAATGATACAACCACTTAGTACCTAGAATCATTTAATCCAAATGCCACCAGTGGTTATGTTGCTAAGAGAAGTGTTAGTGATCAAGGAAAAAAATACATCTCTCTCAATTATGACTCTCGAGTGCTTTTAAAAATATTGTACTTATAAATCCCTTACATTGTTAGCAAGACCTGAACTTTATGATTTTATTGAGATATGATGACTCACATACTAATCAGGCTGATCTTTGTTGGCCACTTGAGACACCTCTAAATCTCTTTTGATTTTACGGGAAATTTCCAGATCTCTATTTTATTTTCAAAATATTCGCAGATATTTTGTAAAAATAAAAACTGTGTAATTTTAACGAAATATTTTTTGTATATATATTTGTTTTGATTAGGAAATAACGGAGTACTACCTAAATTCTGTACAACAAAAGTGGAGCATCAGACAAAGGTGTATGGTTTAACCCCGCCATGCCTATCCTATCCAAAGGTGATATATACATAGTACATAAAGATTCTTCACCGTTGAGACAATCAAACCAATTTTTGGACTCACATAATGACATTGACGTAGTCGATCACGTGCCTCAATCAATATATCTACGGGAAAAAAGTTGCATACTACTTATTAATTAACTTTCAAAAAAGCTTTGCAAATATTTTACTGAATGAAAATTTTGAATTAAGATGTAATATTTTTTTCACTAATCTTGACCGGTTTGTCCTCTCTTCTCATTTTCAAGTTGTCGCTGACCCCTTTCCTAACAATATACAATATGCTCAGTATAATGTTCTATTGGGTTTTTCAAATCGTATGTAATATTCTTCAGTAACATAATATTTATAGGAAGCTGTATTACTCATAATATGAATAGTACAGCTTGTTTCAAATTCTAATTGAGATATAATGATATTAGAAAGTCATTTACTTCTTCCTAAGTAATAGGCCCACGCAGCTGGTTTTCTTAGTCCCTTGATGCGCTTTCTTATGTTAAAACCTCACTTTTAACAATTTTATCACACAACCGGAAGTGATATGATTAAACGAAACTAAAGTTATAGCCCATAAATTAAAGCTTGCATATATGTTAATCATCCTCGAGTTGCTATTCATTTGGTAACCAACAAATTATGTTGAATAAGTAAATACTTTTTTTAAAAAAAGTAAAACATACAAATTACTCTTCTTTAGTGATATTTTGTCAAGCAAAACTTCTTTAAAAATAATAAGTTAACGTAAATAAAGAACAATGATCAGCAGCCAAGTGTGATGAACAATAATTACTCAACCAGAAAATGATCAATATCCAAGGCTCTATCTTGCTTCCAAAATCACTATCCAGTACTCGACTCAAGATCTCAACTCTTCGTGTTGCTTTCCTTTAATCAATGATTATGATTGTATAATATATAATGTTTATCAATCTTTGTGATGAACGGTATTGTTGCACGGGTTTTTTGTTCAGCAAGGACCCACTTCTTTAGGTACCCTTTTGTTTTCGGTCCCCAAGTGCGTGAATGTACAATGGAAATATTATCAGATAGCTAGACACTAGATAGGGACGACGATGGAATCTTTCTTTGAATGGTTATTATTTTTTCAAAATTAAAATGGTTTTCAATGCTTCTTTCTTGATGTATCCTTATTTTAATCATATTTAGAAGTTCTTTTTTCTTTGCCAATAATCATATATATATTTTATTGAAATTAAGGAAAATAGTAAAACTAATTAATTCTATCTGCAGATTTAATAGGTTTTTTCAGCTTTTCCCATGCATATTTATTAAATATATATATTTTAATAATGCAATTTCTCTCACCAATGTTTAATGGAGTAGAAGGGGAAACTAATGATAAAAAAAAAATCAATTTCATGCCTTATAAGTAAGATAAAAAAATTATTCTCTCTCTACTTTATATATAAATAAAACTGGAGGGAACGTATGTGTACATATAATGTGTTTGGTCACCTTCTTTAGCGTATGTGGCATCAGCTGATTCAATCCTTAAATCGAGTCATTTAAATATGGTGCAAATTAAATAAAACAATGAGGAATATGATAAAGCAATTACTTAATTATGTGTTTTCAGAAAGATCTTTAGAAGTGAGGGAATCCCTTTCCAGGATGTTTTAACCGTGAAAAAATTCGCTTAGACAATTGAGTAATAAGATTTTCTCTAGAAAAGATCTAAATATTGACTAAATAATATTAAAAAAAAAGAAAAAAAAGTGAGCATCAGACAAGGGTGTGGGCCCCAGCCACGCAAACGCAACTTCCGATGGGCACATGCGTAGTACAAACTGCTACATTAAAGATTCCTGACGATAAATCAATTTTTGGATTTTCATAGTGACAGTGACTTAGTCCCTCGCGTGCATCAATTCATCTATCCACAAAAAATAGCATATTAAGTTATTAATTGATCTATTATACAAAATTTTATGTGCCCCAAAAAATTAAGAGTCAAAAAATTATCTCATACATTTTATAATACATTTTTATAACATATACTCTCCCGTTTAAAAATATAAAATATTTTTAATTAAATCTCATTCTCAATAAAGTAGTTACTTACTTTCAAACTAACCCTATTTTTTTATATTTATTATTATTAAATACTTTATAATAAATATAAAGTTATTATCAATAAGGGCATTTTTGAAAAAGAAGACAATAATTATACTTTTAAAGACTAAAAATATTTTATATTTGTAAACATCTAACTCTTTAAAAAATACTTTATATTTTTTAAAAGAAAGGGTAATATAAAAATTTTAATAATTGAAAATTTATATTTTGCGGTATTTTTCAAATCCCATCCATCACACCAATCATTTTCAACAATTACAAGGTGTAACATAAAGACTAATAGGTTTAAATTCTCTTTAACTTTCATTCAAAAAAAAAAAAAACTCTTTAACTTGATTTGTTTAAGTTGTGACTTCTGATGATTCGCAAAGGTTATTTATAAGCAGACAAAGCAATTCATGTCAATTCTCTTTAACTTGAGCTGTTTAAGTTGTCACTTCGGATGATTCGCAAAGGTTATTCATAGGTAGACAAAGCAATTCACGTCCGTGACTTCGGCCAAAAATAATAATACAGTTTGCAATTTATAATTAATGCGTTTACATGATTTATCATTTTAATGAAAATTTACATAACAATAATAATACATAATTTAATTGATTTTACTTAATTAGAATATTTATTAAATTTATACGTTTTCAAGTTTAAATTATAACCATTAACTTTTTACCTGAACTATAATATTTAACGAAACTCTCAATATGTTATTATTACTATATATGTTGATAAAAGAATGACATTAGAAGGGAAAATTTGTGTATTTCTGTTGCTACACCTTGATTTTGTAGTTGAGTAGTTTTCTTTCTGATAAAAAGAGTTATAAATGATTTTTTAGTATATAATATTTTTGATAGAAATTAAGAGAACAAAAAGTTGTGCAATCAACAAATTTTACGACTAATAAAAAACCATAACATTTAAAAATAGTGAACAAAACAGTTTATTTTTAAAAGATCTCTCAACAATAATCCAAAGGGCAATCTTTACAATTTTAAACTGAGCACATTGTGGGTAAGAGGAGAGCCAACCCTCACCTCTTTGTTTGCTTCATCACATTGTTGTTTTGATTTCCGCATGATAATGTGTATCTTTTCTCCTCAAAATTTAAACCTTTCATTGTGATTTTCTGTTATCTTCAATTTTGTCCTCAACTATGTTTAGCATGAAGGTGAGCCCCGTGCGCAAACAATTAATTGATGAATTGTGAAAATGCAATATTTAGGGAAATGCTCAAACAAATAAATTTCCTATTTATAAATACTTTTATAGTTCATTTTCATGAAAAATTAAACTTAAGTTAAATAATATATATTCACTTAAGCGTTGAAAGTTCAATCTCAAACCTTATTATGTGTGTAGTAACTTAATTAGTTGAAAAGGTTTGTACCCTTTTTCTTCAGTTCTTCAGTGGAGAAAATTCATGCTATCAGCGACCTGCATTAAAAAAAAAAAAGATAGGTGACAGTAACGTTTATATATTTTAAACAGAGATATGATGTTTTCATCATAATAAAAATTTATAATTCACAATTTTT